ACTAATACCCCCACTCCACCCGAAATCGTCAATCCATCGTTCAAGAAAAGTTGCCCGAGTAATACACCGTGCTTCAGATGATTCCTGGATACCGGCTGATACCTAATTTACTCCCGAAGTCTTTCCCGATGAAAATGAATCATTTGTATAAAGAATATATGAAATTTCTAAACTTTGTTCTGCTGAATGGCGGGTGATTTGAAAGACAACTGAGACTGGACGTCTACACCAGACATGACGAACCCCCAGGTCATAAGTAATTTTGTTGCTCACTTGTCGCTTTTGTATTGTAAATGCGAGTATAGATACTTTAATTCATAAATGTATCAAAAAGATAAAATAAATAAAAATGTATATGGTTCCGTTTACAAAATTCAAAAATACAGCCCTGGCACACGACAGCCGGTCGCCCCCGCTCCGTAGCCGTAAAGATACAGCTGTCGACCGTGCACCACCAACCACCGACACGTCCCCCAGAGTGCCTGTGATGGAACAACCGTGCGCGAGCTACCGACGGGCAGTCATCGGGTCAGTGAGTATGTGTGTGTGTGTGTGTGGTGAGAAAGTGTAACTGCAACTCTGACACTCAAGATCCAGGGCAAATTTGAATGGCAAACTATAACTAAGAGATCTCTCAAAAAAATACAGTTGTGTAATTTTTGAAAAAAAATACCCCGAAATGAACTTTACGTCCTGTTAAAGAGTGCAATTTGCACTATCCTTTGAAAAGTTTGCAGAAATCATTGTAGCCGTTTCTGAGAAAATGGTGTTTGAGCGTATCTGAACATAAATTTGTATTTCATTATTTAAAGCATATGTACTCATAAATATAATAATGTGAACAAATGATCGCTAATATAAATATTAACAACACGGGAAACAAGTAAAAAAAATACATTTTTGTAAGTTTCGAAAAAACAAAAGAATAGAGCAATATGGCGTTAACGTCATCTTATAGAGTACATTTAACACTATCCCTATCAAAAGTTTGAAGAAAAAATTGCGAGCCATTTTTGAGCAAATATTGTTTTTGTAACTTTTAAAAATTGTACATATTACAAGCAATATTGCGGAGAACAGAATGACGATTTGAAAAAAACAAACACGTTTTCGGTATCAGGGAACCCAAAACGTGTACTTCCGTTGAAATCTCGAAATCGATTTTCAATAACATCACTTTCCAATACTATGCATAATAGTTCTATATACATATGTACGAGTATACGGGAAAGTAAAAATTAAATTTTAGCGACCGAGAAAGACGCGAAATGCAGTGAGATATTCCATCGTGAAGGTATGCCTTGTTGCGCTACGTTATAAAAACCGAAGTATACGTATATACGTCTGCAGGTGTTCGAGAAAGTAAAAGATGAGATGTCATGAGAATCCGAGCCCTGTTTATGAGTTAATGACGTACGTGAATATTTATAAGGTTTATCTTAGAGAAAAAATATTCAGAAAGAGATCCGAAATCACTTACAAATCGTTGAACGAAATATCATAAGTTGGATTATTTTTCGAAATCGATATAAATTGCCATTTATAACGAGTTTTACTCTTCTTTAACATTGTTTAAGTAATATTTCGGCTTTACTATTAAGAATCCGAAAAATTGAGAAAATGTCAAAAAAATATATTTTGGGTGGCGTTAGATGGCAGCCTGCAAGAGGATGTGGCAAGACCGTAAAGTCAGTCCACACCAAGAAAATTAGAAAACTTTACTACGAGAAAGTCTGTGCTATTCTGAACCACCAAAAGATCTTAAAACTATACTAGATTGCTAACTCGTTCAGTCAAGGCATTGGATCAGGTGAAGCCCTTCGTCATATAAGAAAGGGCAAGAATCTGGCAGGAATTTTAATTCGAGTGATACCAAGCGCGTGCCCTGATGGAATGAATGCTCAGAATTACACGCAAACACGGTTTTAAGTAATTTATATCTGTAAAAAATATAAAAGATACAACGAATAATATTATTTATTTCAACAAATGCTTAATTGTTACAAGAGAATGGCACTTAATAACTAGAATTATATTTACATATTGTATAAAATCGACGTATTCAGTTGATGTCTTTTACTGGTAGAGCAAGTACCGTGACCAAAATGTTTGGCCTGGGAGAAAAGACTTATTTTTGAGTAACTGTCCACTGTTGAATTGATAAGCTGAATTTTATGAGGAACATCAGTTACGGCAGAGGCTTTAGCACACTGATTAGTGCCAGGGAAAAGGTTTTCATTTAATGCACACAACCGCTTTACGCTATGTTCCAGTGGGAAAGATGGAAAGACAACTGATTCTCTGTTTCAAGTACAGTTTTGTACACACATTCCGCAGCTGACACAATACCACCTGTTTTCCACGTCAACAAATTTTGTGTACACTGCAAAATGCGAGTAACTGTGCAACACACTTTCCCTGAATAGAGCATTAACACAATTACAACAAGTAATTCCTGTGGTGAAGGACCGAACAGTTAAGTTACACACGTAGTATAGCACATTGTTGTTTATATCTGTCAGTTGTTGCTTTAGAACATTTCCAATGTTGAACCGTAGAGTATCAGATTCAGCATGCATACTCTCACTTTCCAGTTTTTCGCCCTTCCATTTTGGGCTAAAAATTGACCCTACATCATCACCATCAAGGACAATGCAATTAGCTGCAGAAGAAGTGGATATACTCGTTTCTGCAGTATCTGCTTCAGAACTGCAGTAAATACACGCAACGCACCTCCAAGTCCCGGGGGGATGGATTGAACGCTTTGCGCTTGAGAGTAATTCTCCATCGATAATCCCCCTATTTATAGGAGTAATTCTCCACTAACATTGTCATATTAATGCCACGCCTTGTCGCAGTCAGTTGTCAAAATAACCGCAGGTATTACTCGCACAACCTTTCTTGAACGATGGATTAAATAAATGTCGGTAGTGTGGGGATATTAGTTAAGTAATCAGCCACTAGATTTTATGAAGCAATGCCAAACTCTGGATAATCAGTCATGCCTTCGCAACTTTCTCAATAATTTGCGTTCTAACTTGCTCAGGTGTTCGAGGTATCTCTTGTGATGGATCTTCACCTGCTTCGGTCATTTGTTTAGATTTAATGGAGAAAATCAGACAAAAGTTCTCGCCTTCAAAGGAAAATAGTTTCTATTTCGCGCCAATGAAGATGTGTTTGGAATGTTGCCATCAGTGCACGCTGTGAGCTTTCGTCTTCAACTGTTTATTGTGTCAGAGAGGGGGAAGCTAGATCGTCGTTCAAGAAAAGTTGCGCTCGATTAGCATCCCCGCGTCCGCGCCTCCTACTACGCGCGCCTGCGTCACTTAGGAAGGAATTAGGATAGAGAGAGGGTTTAGGACACTTCACAGGGGTTGGACTAGCTCCTGTGAAGCATGCAAATTCATTTTGTAACACATTTCCCTGACTTGACAGCAACAAAAAAAAACTGACTTGACAGCAGTGGCCAAACCAAGGACAAAGGTTTTCCTAGACGAATGGCAAAGTAATTTGCCACTGCTGTCTTTGAGAGGAAATAAACAATTTACATCTTCAATAATTTGCATTTCTTTGTCAATTACGTTGTCAAAGAAGATGCGTTTTTTGTAGCCCCTGGCAAAGACCCTATGCTATTGAGGAAGTCGAAGATTCGATCATCGACCTGAATGAAATTGAAAGTAGCTATACTACACTGAAACTCACTAATTTGAGACATATCTAAACATGTAAGTGCATCTCCAACTGAAGAACTTAAAGTTGGAGCAGCTAACTTTACTTTAGGGTTACGTTTCCATTCTACGTGTTTTCGTGTGACTTTCTGAGCTAACTTCAATGATATAGGAAGACTGAATTTTCTCAATAAGGGACCACTGTATTTCTACATCTGGAACATTAAAGTTTAAATATGTTCCAAGAGCATTACGAGCCAATTTCAAGTTGTGGCACGCATCAGGAAAAAATACACACTATATTCTGCAGTTGGATGCTTAAAATCACATTTGATTGCTTCGAAATTGCTGGCATAAATAGTGCAATCATTGTTTGTAAATTTGTGTGTGTGCCATCACATGTTACACCTCTTATTTTTACACCAGCCTCAAAGCTCATGATCAGAGTGGTTTTCACTCGTTCAGTTTGAACCATTGCCTTCGGCTTGTTTAAAAAAACAAAACAAAAAACAATTAGCCTCTTCCACTTGCTTGTCAATGAAACCAGCAGGAACTTTAGAACCTTCCACAGCAAATTTATTATCATTGTCACAATAAGCCACAAACCGACGTGATTTAGGATCCCACACAATATTTTCCAGCCGTGCTATCAAACACTAAATTACAGTTCTAATCTTCTGGGTGTAACATGCACAGTTCTTTAAAATCATCTTAAAAAATCCCGGTTCGATATTGACTGAGGAAATCCAGTTTCTTATTGGACTAGGGGCGGGCAAAGATATCATTGTTCTGAAAAAGAAAAACGATAATAAGAACAGAACAAAATAACATTTTTACATTTGTTTTCATAACATTATATTTACCTGAAAAAAATCATAGGCCTTGGTGAATTATAAAAAAGAATAAGAGCAAATTGTTTTATTTCCTTGGAATATTTTCTTCCATTATGTTTTCTATGGTGGTTCTTCAGCTCAGTTTCAAAAACTGTTTCTGTTGTCCCATCAAATTCATTCTCAATTATGCTACTTACATCTTTGCTTATTAATTGCTTATTTCTTAAATGTTGAAGCAAATCTGTTAAGGCACATTTTTTCTCTCTTCTGTGTAACGTCTGTGTGAGAGATTTTATCTTCCTTCGCAATTTGGTAGGACTAGAAGCAGTAGCTTTTTTCACAGGAATGACGTTATCTTCCACAGCTTCCACGGGTCTTTTGCTCGGGTCTATCTGAATTTGATGTTTTTTTCCTAATGTGCACCGGAAATTCAAAAACAGATGGCAAGGCTGCACTCTTCAGTTGTGGTACATTAAAATTGGGCCTACTTTTTTAAAACGATCACTGCAAATTCGGGTGCTCCTGGAAGGAACAAAATCCTTCCTCTTCACAGCAATAAACCACATTTTCAGCGTCTCTTCGTTATTCAGAAGAAGCCTGCAAGAGCACAGATTATTTATGCAGATACTTACAAGATATGCAAATAACCAAAAGCAAGCATGATAAGTATAATGCACAATATGCACTGAACAACTTTCCCTCCTTTGTCGGTTCGTATAGTCGGTATGCACAGCACGAGTCTCGCATTGCGAACTCGCACAAAAACACATAGCACCACATTTACTACACCTTGCCTGTTTGTCATTTTTGCTCGTTTTAAAGATGGCGCACAGACCTCACTGAGGCGGCTACACACGTTCAAGCATACTTGTTAAGCATGCTTGCCCAATCACAATTGTGCAAGCATTCTTAAATGTCTGTTCGACAGGATTGTTCAAGCATTTTGATTGTACAAGCGGCTTGAGGATTGATGGAAATTTCATGATACATGCTTGTACAGGCTCTTCCTGCACGTGATGGATTGGACGTGTGTACCAACGTGATGCAAGCTTGTGCAATCGAGTGTCAGTTGATCGTCTGGAGTAGTAAAGTGTACGGTTTTTAAACGTGATAAAATTTTATTTCCATCACCATGAATGAAAAAAGTTTGTTGTGAATCAAAAAGTTTATTAGAAGACTTTATTCGTGTTTACGAAAATAATTCATGTCTGTGGCGTGTAAAATCAAAAGATTATCACGATAAAGCCA